TCGCTGCCCTCCCTGTCTCTCCTGCTCAATCCTGTGTGTTCCTTGAGCCCCACAGCCTGACTGGAGGATCCCACCTGGTGACCTTCGCTTGCCGGATTCTGCTGCATTCTTATCTTCAAAGCGTGTGTTAGGCAGCAATGGAGAGATGCATAAGGGTTGGTACAAATCAGCCTTCCTCCTTATCTCTAAGGGCTGGTCAGCAGTTCTTTTCTAAAATCTAGTTTTCTAAAATCTAGTTTTCTAAAGGCTAGTTAGCCATTCTTTATTACATCCCTAGCTCTGAAACAGCTAGAGCCGGTCCATCCTGGCACGTAAAGCGGAAAATCATAAAATCCTTTTTCCTCTGCAGGGAGGAAGAGTCTCCTGGCTCCTGGTGAGATTAAACTTTGTGTGTGTATCTGCAAATGTTAGGGGGCAGAGGTTAAGCTGAGCAGTGCAAGGGGAGGAGGTGACAGTGCTTAGCAATGCAGATCAGATGGCTCTGAGACCTTCCAGTACTCGTGGCCAAATCCTGGGATATTTAGGGGTTTAAAACGTAATGAAGTCAGACGAAGGAAGGAGCGCTCTTTGGGTGAGGAAGGATGGATGAACTCAGCTCCTTGGAAGGAAGCTCTTTGATCTACTGGAGGCCGTGAAGGTGGCCAGGTGTCTTGGTGGCCACCAAGGGGAGGTGACCGTGCCCTCCTAGGCAATCCCCAGAGGCAACCCACGCTGCTGCCTCCAGCAGGGAAGCCATCAGGAGAGAAACAACACCCATGAAAGCAGACTCGAGGTTTGGGGTTTAGTCTCTGCTGGGAGTCGCTCCCTGACGCTGGGAGGGGAGAAGCAGGGTGAGCTGGGTGAGCTCCTCAAGTCCTTGCGTCCTCCGCCTAGAAAAATCAGCCTTGCCAAGGAGATGCAGAGATTGTTCCTGGCAGCCGTGCAATTCTAGGAGTAGGTTTTAAGGCCACGCCAAGATGACAGCTTCCCGGGCACCTCTGCCTTGCCGGAGACACGCACAGGCGCTCGCTGCAGCTGTAACCTGCTGTGACCGATTTGCCGCCTCTGCTCCGGCTGAGGCGCGCTGTCACGCCTGCTCCGAGAGCGCTTTGTTCTGCTCTTTGCCGCTGCCTCTGGTTTTCAGCAAAGGGCCGCGCTTGCTTGACGGTGCTTCGGTTTAATCCGCTTGGGGTTGGGTTGGTTTTGTTTGTTGTTTTTTTTTTTTCCAGCTGCAGATTTGCTAGGAGACGGGGAGGTCAAGGGACCAGGGAATGAGTCAAGGGATTCAGCCAAGGGAAAGGGAGTCCAGGACTTGGGCAGGGCAGGCTCTGATGGATCTCATGCAGGACTTTTTTCTCCCTGCCCCCTTGCCCACACTGCCATCTTTCCCCGAAACCCATTGAATCCATCCCTAGGGGATAACAGGAGGCTGAGCACGGAGCGAGGACATCCCAAGCCATCTTGGAAATCCCCCTCACCCAGCTGCTGCCCGTCAGCCCCAGTAGGTTGTCCTGCCGGCATGCTCTGGGAAGGAGCCAGAACAAGGAGCAAGATGGTGCCAGGGGGTGGACGGGTGGCTTGGTGGGCTCTCCCCTGCCACAGGCACCATTCCGTTGTGCCACTGGGCACGGCGAGGGGAGCCGTGGGTGCACAGCGTCGGTTGTTGCCTGTTCTTGGAGACCCCAAAGTGGGCTGCAGCGGGGCAAGCCAGGCTCACGGCCCAAACCCAACCACAGGACAGGTCTGATGTCTCCTCTGAGCTATTTGCCAGCCATCTTGGTGGTTGTCCCCCATTCTTCTCCCCACTGGCGCTGCCACCACCTCCTCTCCCTGCCCCGCCGGTGCCTGCCGTAATCTCGGCGCTCTGCCTCCCTCCCTGCTGCTAATCCTCTAAACCCTCGGTAAAGCCTGCCCGCCTGACCCTGCCTCTACGTGTCCCTTCTCCAAGGCAGTCTTCGGGGGGTCCCCCAGCTTGGGGCTGGCATTTTTTGGGGGTGCACAAGGCTGTCACCCAGATCATGTAGCACCTCTAGGGGTTGCTTGCGTTGGAGCGCCAGGAAGGATGCCCGAGCCCTGGGGTATTTGTGCAAAGCGCTGGCAGCTGTTAGATAAGACAGCTGACCCAATACACCCCAAAATGTGCCCAGGTGCTGGTTTCACGCTCTCGGGAAGCAGTTTCCGTGCTCAGTGCGAGCTGCTTCAGCCCGTCCCCATCTCCAGGGCTGCCACTGAGCCCCAGGAACTGGGCGGTGGAAACCCCCAAGGGATTCCTGGGGGTAGGATCGGGAGGAGGAGTGAAACAGAGCAAAAGGATGCGTGGCTGTAGGGTTGGCATCGCTCCTTGCAGCGTGAGCGGGGTTTATCTGGGCTGGGGCTGGCCAGCACGGCCCATTTTAATAATCCTTTCCGCTGGGCTGTTGGAAAATGTTGAGAGGGAAAGCGCCGCAGCAAGACGGGTAGGTCTCAGGGAATTTTTGCAGCCGAAAGGTGGACCCGGCAGGTTGCTCATGTCTACGAATCACGGCCTGGTTGCTAAGGGCGAAGAGCATCTTGTGCAGAGCGGGGCTGGAAAGTCTCTGTCAGCCTGAGCCGGCGGTAACCATCCGGGCTGTCTTCACCGGGGCCGTTTCGTTTGATTCTCGCAGGGTTCAGTGTTTCAGCAAGTCTATTTTAAGCCTCCCTTTGGCGTGCGGGAGCGGGGCTGGCACAAAGGGAGGCCCCGATGCTGCAAGGTGCTGCCTGCGCCCCTCCCAGTGTGCAGCCCTGCTCTTTGCATCGCTGACCTGGGACGGGAGGCAGCAGGGGCAGCCCGGGACTGGGACCAACCGCAGCATCCCAGCAGCACCAGTGCCAGGCAAGGAGCCGTCCTCAGGCTCATCAGTCCGCCCCGTGAGGGCTTAGGCGGGTGGTGAATCACTGCATCTCGAGCTAGTCCAGAAAAGATTAAGCCGACCTAAGAATAAAAACAAGCCCTGCAGTTCAACCGGCTGGGATAAAACGCAGAAGCGTGCCAATCACCGAGCTGCAGGAGGGGAAGGGATTACAAACCCCGGGCAGATTACCGCCGCGCGTTTCGGTGCACGGGTCAGGCGTTACGCTCCGGTTGTGCTTCCCGGGCTGGATGGGTTTCTTGTGCCTCCGTTCCCAGTGCTGTGGCGAGGTCCTGTATGTGTTTTGTCCCACTAACGACCAGTGAGGCAACTCCAGTAAGTGCCCACACCAATGTAGGAGTTCAAACAGGGGCACAGACGAGAATAACCAAATGGATCTCTCCCCCGTGAGGCCTTTATTTCTATAGAGCCGCTCCCTTCCGCTACGCGCCGGATGAAAGGCGCTGTGTACATAAATAAATGCCTTGTGATATACCATCCGCTTTGATGGCTGCCAGCAGCACGGACGGGATCCGAGTCTGCTCCCGGATAACGATTCCCCTACCCCGTCACCCTCCTCCCTTCCCTTTCAAATTAGGGGTTGTTCAAAGGGGCAGTTCCTCGAAGCATCGCTCCCCGCGCACGGGTGCCTTGGCCGGTTTCTGATATTTCCGTGCCACAGCTGGAGTGCATGCCTGCAATCCAACCAAGGGGTTATTTTTTCCTCCCATGACGTGACGTTACAATCCTTGTCACCGAGATGGGACTGGGATCCAGCGCTGCGTTTTGCTGTTCCCGCTAACGAAGGGCTCGCGAAGGAGCCCGATGCTCTTAACGGTCCACAGGATGCCGTGCCCTGAAACCCCTCTTTGCTTTTGTCTCCTCTTCCCAGGGACGTACCAGGGCCAGTGGGTCGGAGGGATGCGCCAGGGTTACGGCGTCCGGCAGAGCGTTCCCTACGGCATGGCTGCGGTTATCAGGTCACCCCTGAGGACGTCCATCAACTCCCTGCGCAGCGAGCACACCAACGGCACGGCGCTGCACCCCGACTCCTCGCCGGCGG